TCCGATAAATCCGATTCGATCCGATCCGTCGGATCCGGATCGGATTCGGATCGAATCGGATTTTTTGCGGAACACTATTTTCCTTTGTCGCTATTTAAGGCATTAGAATAATTCAGGTTATTTTGGACATTAGGAGGTCAATCATTTCTCTCATTATTTTTCTTGATAATCAAATGACGAGACCCTGCAGGTTTGTATCGATTATACAATTTCTGGACAGAGGGAAGGTGAGAACGAAAACGGTTATTGTCGGGAGAGTTATCCTTTGCAGTAGGGTAATTTGTGAACATTTCATCACAATATGTTCGGGTGAGCCACATTTGTAACAGCATTTCAGGTCGGCTGCGTACCATTGTAGTTCCTGTTTACTAAAAGCATAGTTAATTTTAATAGCGTCATTAAATGCATCCTCAGATTCGAAATAGAGGATTGCAAAGGACCGTGGTTTGTAGTTGTTGAAGCGTGAAATATAACAGCTTTTGGCTTTAGTAGCAATAATGATATTCTGGAGATCACGTGCTGTAGTTCCAAATGGGAAGTTTGGTGAGTTTAATACGGATATCATTTTTATATTTCACTTGGTCAGGTGTAAGATTGACAGAGTAAACTCTTACGCAGTCATTGTACAAGTAACGTGACCACTGGGAGTAAAATAGTTGAATAGCGTTTAGATCTTCATATGTAACATACGCATGTTGCCACATGCCTTGTGTTTGCATTTTGACATTGGTAACTTTACCATATTTGGTAAATACAAAGGTGAGAGATTCTTGTTTAACGTTAAGATAAATATCCGTAATATGTAGGGTACGTTGGTGAAACTGCATGTTGTCTTTGTAAACATTGTAATCAATCAGTTAGTCGATTCCCAAATCGGGAAATTTTACTGAGGAGGCGGAGATCATCAACTCCTGATCGGCGAAGTAGATGACTGCAGAACAAACAAAGTTGACGCGATGAACATTAACGTCTTTGAAAACATCGTTATGGGTGAAATGGTTGTTGATAGTTTTGATAATAAGTTGGGTGGTGAGATCTTTCGCTGGTTTAGAAATGATAAAGCACATGCAAAAGCGGTTGGACGAGTAATCGTAATAAAGTCACAAGTATCAGTTTTCATATTTTCATCATCTTCAATAGGAACATATTCGTCTTTATCCAAAACGTTGGGAGGCAGAGTGGGTTTTGGTACAAAAGTATCTACAACAATTTCTTCATCAGAGAGGGAACTAGGGTCAGGAGCAGTCTTAGACGAAGAGGTGACAGTTTTTGGTTGCTTGTCTTTTGGGTCGAAATGAAAAATGTTTTTTGGACTGGTAGTGCGTTTGCTATTTTTTCCCATTTTATTTGTAACTTTTTTTTGTGAAAACTCTTTTGGAAAATTGTTTGTAAAGTAGAAATAATAAACTAACTAACAGAGTTGAAAAATATTAAAAGATTTTTAAAGCAAAACGATTTTATTTTCTAAAAAATTTTTGTTTCCAAAAATTTTGGGAGAAAGGAGAAAGAGTTTTTTTTGTAATAAAGAACTTTTTTTTTTTTTTTTGCTTTACTAGGTTCACGCTGATGCTTATATGGTGCGCACGGCTCACAAGTAGCTATACGACTTATTTGTGGTGAAGCACTATTACCCCCTTTGACACTTTTAAGCCCAGTGTGAGTAT